TAACATCGAGCATATTTTGCAGTATTAAACACGCATTTATAGCCTACCGATTTCATCAGGCTCCGAAAATTCTTCAAAAAGAACACAAAGAATGGCCTTCTCAGCTGCCATAGTTGCAACTCTTGCGTCATCAGAACAGGGTGTTCAACGTACCACCGTTTCCGTTTAAAAAACGTTTTGCACCATTTTGTCGGGGCTTGGCTTGTGTTTCCAAACTGCTATTAATTAGACAAATTATGGACCATTTGTTTTTGTTTTTTTCTTCCACAAAACAAGTGAAATTTGCCATTGTGAACGCCAATTGCAACCGGGCTTGTGCACCATTCAGAATTCAAATTTGAATTGTGGTAGCAAACATGATGCATTATTAAAATTCGAATTTGAATGTAAGGAAGTAGAATTACACTGATTTGGAGTTTTCAATTCAATCTCATGAGAAAACATTACTATTTTATGAGGTGGTGATTTTGTATGAATTTGTACAGAAACTTTTTTTCTGGTGCAAGATTGTATGAAAACGTACACATTAGATCATTCGAATTTATACGAGTTAGCCACCAATTTGCCAAAACGCAAAATAGTAACGAATTACCACACAAATGTGTTGCCAATTTTTAACCAGAAAAAGCAATGTTTGTGAAACTTTGCATGAATACTTTCACTTGTTTTACAGTATATCTAAGATATTTTTAAAATATGACTTATAGAAAATTATTTTATGCTTATATATTCTAGGAAATTAAATGATCATATTTATATCAACACTTAATTTTCCAGAATGCATTACCTGTGTTGATTTTCTTAAATGGAAATTTAGTAATTCCTTCACCAGTACAGATGTAGAGTTTAGTGCTTTGATTTTTTCTTCCTTTTTTCAAATTCATTTGAACTGCCAGAAGGTGTCTCATGTTATCTAGCTCTTCAAACACTTCAAACAATAGTCAAAGAATATCAAATATCTGGTTTTCTTTTTGCTTTTTGTGCTTGAACTCCGCCCAAAGTTTGAGGACTATAAAACCCTTACAATTAAAACCTCTCAGACACTTTAGGCAATTCCATAAAGTGACCTGTGTCCAGCAACAATGGCATCTCAAGGCATCCAGATCCTGGGCATCATGCTTGCCATTATAGGCTGGCTGGGGACCATTATCACCTGTGGCATGCCAATGTGGAGGGTCACAGCCTTTGTTGGAGTGAACATCGTCACGGCACAAATCATCTGGGAAGGTCTATGGATGAGCTGTGTGGTTCAGAGCACCGGACAGATGCAGTGTAAAGTCTACGACTCCATGTTGGCTCTATCGCAAGACCTGCAGGCTTCCAGAGCCATGGTTATCATCTCCATCATGGTGGGCATCTTTGGATTCCTGATGGCCATGGTTGGAGGAAAGTGCACCAACTGCTTGGAGGATGAAGCAGCCAAAGCCAGAGCGTGCATCTTTTCAGGGGTGGTTTTAATCATCGCTGGCTTTCTGGTCCTGATACCCGTGTGCTGGTCTGCACACACTCTTATCAGGGACTTCTACAACCCTTTAGTAACAGCAGCCCAGCGGCGAGAGCTGGGAGCCTGTCTTTACATAGGCTGGGGATCTGGAGGCCTCTTGTTGCTGGGTGGTGGGCTTCTTTGTTGGAACTGCCCGTCCAATGACAATAGGCCCTACGTGGCAGCCAAATACAGCCCTGCCAGATCTGTAACCCCAGCAATGGATTACGTGTGAAAATAACCTTAAGATATGTGGCAAGTACTGTGCAAAATTACTGAAATAGACTATCACGCAAACTATCATGACTTTTGACATTTGGTAAATGAAAATGACCGAATGAAAGCTGATGAAAATAAGTTCACAATTGTTTGTTTACAATAAAAATGTGATGAGAATAAAATGAAGTTTGAGTGATTGATCATGAACATCTCTATATGTTAGCTTTGAAACTATTTTTTGTTTCATGTACACACACGCTTAACACTGCGTGAACACTCCTCTGTTGACCATTCCACAGCTGTTGTTTTGTGCCGCTGCTTTTGTACCCATGCATACAAAGGATAAGATATTATCGTCGCCAGGGAGAAACTCTTTGCACTCCAACTATTGTGCAAAATCAAACAAGTACAAGCATTAATTACAGAGCCTTGCTACATCTATTTTAAACAGGAATGAGCATTCTGTCCAGGAAAAACAAAAGTAGAATTAAATGACAAATAAGTGTTTATTGATTTTTATGTGTCAGTGAGAAATAAGGATGTCTGAGATTATAAAAAGGAGAAATATTTTAAAATCTGTTTTAAACATGCCGTGTGTAATGTTGGTAATTTGTGTATTAATGTTAGATACATTTTTTAAAAATTATTAATGTCACTTAAAAATATTAAGTGCATGTGAGTTTACAAAAGCAATCAAAAACATTTTCAAACATTTTCCAAAATAAAAATATTTTTTACAAATATGATGAATTTGAACTTAATATAAATAAAATTAAAATAGAAGAAATCAAAACATCAAGTCATCACGGTCTGGATGGGTTTCATTTTTTATTTTTATTTTTTTTTGATAACAAACTGGCATTCTTGCCACATACCCTATAAACTTGTTTTTTTTTTATTGCTATAATGTTTTATTATTATTTTTAGATAAAACATAATGGCAAAATATAACAATTCTTTACACGTTTTTTTGTTTGTTTACAATACAATCTCTAAACAGTCATAGCTCTGCGCCCCACACATAAATGATCAAGATGGCAGAAAACTTGTTAATCATCTAAGAGGTGGTAATAAGTCTTTTTTGTTTGTTTGTTTTAATAATACTGCATTTGTAATAGGCTATTAATGCTACATTCTAACAGCAACAGACAAAACATTAGCGTGACTTGACCATTATTTGATTATGGCGATTAATGAATGAATTATTTTTTACTTGTATTAATTAGGTATTACACATATTCTTTTTCCGATGCGTTTGATTTCGGTGCCGGGTATTTGGGGACGAATGCTCGTTCCTCTTTCTGCTGGCACTGGCAGCACAGTATCGCGCCCCCGGTGAGCAGCAGCCCCGCGGCGGCCCAGCCCGTGTAGAGCGACGCCCCGAGCTCCCGTCTCTGCACGTCAGACACGAGCGGGTTGTAGAAATCTCGGATAATGGTGTGCGCCGACCAGGAGACGGGTGTGAGACACAGCAGTCCACTAATGATGAAAAACACCCCTGCAGATATGACAACTCTTGCCTTCGAGGCTTTGTTCTCGATACAGGTGGTGCATTTCCCTCCTACAACCGCCAGGAGAATGCCGAAGACAGAGAGCACGATGGAGAGGACAAGCAAAGCGCGCGCGGCTTGCAGGTCCGGGGACAGGGCGAGCATTGAATCGTACACTTTGCACTGGATGTGTCCCGTGCTCTGAACCACACAGACCATCCACAGTCCCTCCCAAATGATCTGCGCCGTCACGATGTTGTTGCCAATGAAAGCTGTAACCCTCCACATAGGAAGGACGCAGGTTATAATAGACCCCAGCAACCCAACAAACGAAAGGGCAACTCCTAAAATCTGCAACCCCAAAGATGCCATGGTTCTTTTCGTCCCGTCACCCCTCGTTTTTATTGACTGAGAGGGAGTTTATATGCAGACTCCCCAACTCCTCGGGGTGGGATTTGGGGATTTGAACAACGAACTGGATTTGAGAAGCAAAAAAGGGATGTGGTTTTGGACGTGGTTCATTAAAAAAAAAAAAAAAATTATTTGGGTCTCTTTTGGTCATATGAACTCCTAAAACACTTCACAACCCTTACATATTTATGGCATGATACACACTTTCCTGTCAGCATGTTTTTTGTTATTTCATTTGTTTTCCTGTTTTTGTTTTTTCTGTTTGTGTTTTTAATAATATTACTGATAACGTGTTGGAAATGTTAGTGAAAAAAATTTATATATGTCAAACTCCGCACTGTAAAAAAAATTGTTCACTCAACTTAAATTTTTTTAGTTATCTTTTTGCTTTGACTAAGTTGTTTTATTTACGTTTATTTCTAAAAAGTTTAGTTGACATAATAAAATAGTTGAACCAACTACTTATTTCAAGTAACCTTGACTTGAAAAGTTTAGTTGAAATGTTAACTTACATTTTCAATTTATCTGTACTAAAATTTAAGTTAATTTAACTTAATGTGTCATATTTTCTCAACTTGCAATAGCACATTCAACCAAATAAATAACACATTTTGTTCCATATTGTCCCTTGAAAATGAACAAATCATCGTAAACCATGTTGAAATCATATACAGAGATTCCAGAATTCTGTCTAAATGACATTTCAGTTAATGTTTAAAACAATTAACACACTGAAAGTGGATTAAAAAAAAACTTAACTGTGAAATAACTTTTAAACATGAAATCTCCTTTTTCCTATAAAATTACATTTAAGTTACTCAGTGTTAAAAAACGTCATGCCACTGATGGAAACTGTAAAAACATGCAGACAACTTTTTAACTTTAAAATACAACAGCTAACACATCTCTTATTAGAAATGCACAACACAATTCTAAATATTTGTAAATACAAGCTAAAAAACAAATTATATAGAAATTACAGAAAAAATTACAGATATATAATTTCTCAAATAAATAAAATGTACAAAAAAATCATCAGAAAATGACATTGCAATTGCAAGGTACAAATTTACTTGGAAAACAATGTGGAAAGTGTATTAATTTGTATGTTTTTTTTTTACTCTCAAAGTGACGTAGCCACTGACTTAAAAGTATAGTTCAACCAAAAATAAAAATTCTGTAATTAATTACTCACCCTCATGTCGTTCCAAACCCGTAAGACCTTCGTTCATCTTCAGAACACAAATTAAGGTATTTTTGATTAAATCCGAGAGCTTTCTAACCCTGAGACAGCAATGCAACTGACACGTTCAAGGCCAGGACATCCTTAAAATAGTCCATGTGACAGTGGTTCAACCGCAATGTTTTGAAGCTACGAGAATACTTTTTGTGCAAAAAGAAAACAAAAATAACGACTTTATTCAACAGTTCTTCTCTTCCCTGTCAGGGGCAAAAATTGCTGGTCGTGATTTAAAAAAGTTTCCGCGGGTTTGTGTGAGCATCATTTAAGAAAAATAAAAAGCAAACATCTGTTTCTGTTCTGCTTTTTCACTTCAACAAGGGAGAAAAAATATTGTGATAATAATAATACATTTTCTTTGATAATAAAATGTTATTTTAATTATTAAAAGATCACAACGATAGCCTTAAGAATATGTTCAGAAAACAATACACTGAGACAAATCTCGCAATAATGAGGTAATTAAATTTCAACTTAAGCCTTTCAGTAAATTCACCATTTATATATAAATTTATATATAAATTCATCATTTATAATAAATAATTGCAA